ATGAATATATGAAGTTCATATATTTTGAACTGCGGTTATAGATACGTATGATGCACGATCCTCGCAGTAGAGAGCGCTATTTATGCAATAGCGAAAATCAGACCTGAAAAAAATCAGGCCTGTACGGGATTTGAACCACTGACCTCTGCGATACTAGTGCAGCGCTCTACCAATTGAGCTAACAAGCCAACTGGGAGCAGGCTGTTAAGTTGATTCGTAATAAACCCGTGATGATAAATCAGATACAATGAATATATGAAGTTCATATATTTTGAACTGCGGTATTAGATACGTATGATGCAGTGAAGGGAATTATCATTTGATCCAACACCAAATTCTCAAAACAAAATTTATAGGAAATGTATGGCAGACATTTAGGAGAATTATTCATCAAGATGTTGATAGTGAAAAGATTAATAAATGAAAACTGCCTCCCTAACAGCATTGGAGAAGAGATTGACAAGAGATTAGCCTGATATTAACATATTAGGCAATAGTAATAGTAATAGTAAATAGTAATCAAAGTTTAATGTCTTTACGTAGGGCATGGTTACCCATATTGCCCGAGCCAGAGGCTCATGTATGAAATGCAAGACAACAACCCACCCATCCCACCCCAAGGGAGGACATCCATAGTAATCTCATGCATGGGAAATTAATGTCTCCTACCCCTAACCCTGCAGGAGATGGGACCTCCATTTATTCGTCCTTATCCGAGAAGACTAGAATATCTAAACCATTTCTTGATGTTATAGAGAGGTGGCATATTCTTCTCAATTATTTTAAGACCTTGAGTGTTGGTCTGGCCAGGGCTTGAACCCTCTACCTCCAACACATCGGTCCAGCGCTCTATCCATTGAGCTAACCGGGAGGCGGTTAAATTAAAAAAAAAAAAAATGAACAGATGAAAAACTGACCAAGAGATTCATGATTGAAATTAGCTCTGACTCAAAATATCTGATAATTAATTTCTACAATTTGCTGGGTCTGAAAGGAGAAAGACGTCCTTGCGAATGGAGAGAGGAGCAAAATCAAAAAGTTTAATTGTATATTTAGCATTTCAATTTAAAAAGGATACAGCCATGCATAACCGGAAGTATAAATTTGTAAAGCTGCAAGAGAAGATCAAGACAGCAAAAAGATGTTTGGTGATTGTGAAGACCCGCTCCCCTTACTGTCGGTTTAGTGTCTGCCAACTGTCAGCTGACTGTTGGCGGGCTGTTGGTGGAGGGTAGCTGTTCTTCACAATTACCAGATGTTTTATATACATGTATTGAACTATTGAAACTCAGTCTGTGAATCAAGGAAGTAACAAATGATTATTCTGGTGTTGGTTGACAGTCAGTTGGTTAGTACATTTTAAGCGCCAGTTACTCAGTCAGTCTCAGATGATCAAAAATATTCCCCTCTTCAACAACAAGATGTTATGATCATGCAGAGCACTTATAACAAGGGAATGTTTCGGTCTGGCCTCGTTTCTTAAAAGAGAGCACCTGAAAAAATTTCCTCTATAAATTGTTAACTGCTTGATGCAGTCTTGCCCAAGTCCCCCAGAAGGTGATTATAGCATATAAATATGGAGAATGCACAACATAAATGCATCATTATCATTAAAAATTTAAATCATGCTTGTATTTAAGAGACTGTTACCTCTGGTTGCACCACTAAAGGTCTTAAGAGGTGGCCATTCCATACAAATCGAGGATCAGCCTGACGAGAAAATTAGGGAAATTGTTGTTAATTAAAAATGAAACTGGATGTAAGACTTTTTTCCTAGTGGGCATTAGGTTGGTTGTTTCTGATGCATTGCTAGGAGTACGTCATCTCTTCTTGGATAGGAAATTACAGTGAAGCGCATCTCAAGTAATCTCTCTGCCGCCTTTTTGTCAGTTTCCCTAACAGTTTATCATAACCCGTTTATACTGTTGGCTGCACGGTTGTCATTAGAAAATGTAATAGATGTGTGATCTGAACTGGGTGGTTCAATTTAAAATTGGAAACTCTCTGAGATGTGATTTTTAGCATTCTGGAACACAACTTCTTCTTCTAGACATTGACATTAGAGTCAGTTCAAAAATACTTCTTTGCTGTCCTTAAGCACAATTCACAAAGTGATTTCCATAAAATGGTCTGACAACAAGAGGGTTTCCACTGTCTATGGGCTTCTAATAACAACCCTGTGAGTGGAGAGGGGCACTGTGGAGTGAAATGTTCAACTCTTAAACACATAACAGGGCTTGACACTAACAGTGGCCCACTAGCCACAGACTAGTAGAAATTCAGTTTTGGCTAGTGGTTTTCCATTTCCACTAGCCAGTTTGGCTAGTAAACTAACTGAAATTGTCATACCATCTATGATTTCACAAGCCACTTGGCTAGTAAGTTGAAAAGTTAGTGTCGAGCCCTGCCTAACAATGACCACCCAAGGCTCCTCCCCCATCTCTTGATTTAGAGTCCCACCCATTTTTGTTCTGCATTTGATCATCTAACTGTATTTATCAATACTTGACTTTCAATGCTCTCTTACCCTTTCGAAGAGAGGCATCTGAAGGAAGTCAGGGCTGGTTCTTGAGAGTCTTTGCAGGGTGTGTGTTAGATCATATGTACAAGAGAAGTAAAAGCTACTAGTCTGAAGAACTGACTGCACCATTGATAAGTATATATTGTTGTTCCTTTGCTGTCAAAGAGATGAAAGAAAAGTTTTGTCATTATTATTACCATTGTCAACAGTATTGTTATCATTTCACACATGAAAACAATTCAATCAAAATCTCCATGCATGTACCTGACTCTCTGTGAGATGAAATGTTGCTCTTGGAAAAGACAGAATATCTGTTCCTTTGATAACCCATACTTCATGGCCCCTGATAAGACCTACAAGAGTCTTCTTGGTGATTACAACCAAGTATGACCCTTAAGGAAAATAGTGATTGACATGTAAAGTAACTTAGGAAAAAATATTATAACATAACCAAAGTAAAGTGCGCACTCCGAATGGTCAATTTAGCGTCCCCCATTTGCCCATGGGTGTACGCTGCTGACGTGAGCAAATGCAAAGACTATTTTTCCATGTGCGCTTGTTTTTCTGGTCACGTAAGATTTGTTAAATAAAAGGGAACTCTTTCACTACAATGTATCAATGTTATGTTATAAAACATGTATCAATGTTATGTTATAAAACATGTATCAATGTTATGTTATAAATCATTACGGTGGCCAATTTACCATTTCAACTTTGTTGATATATCCAAATTATTATGTTATAAAACAAATGGTAAACACCACAGCATACTCTATCGAGTTACGGATGCACTTGGGAGGTTTGCTAAGTACTCAAGAAGCTAGAGTCGCTCTTGGCTATCGCCTCGAGCGACTCTTACACTTCTTTCGTGCTTAGCAACCTCCTGCATGCATCCATAACTCAATAGTGTACGCTGTGTTGTTTACCATTTGTTAAATGTCAATGGCAAGTTTAATGATTGTCATGGGATGGAACATCCCAGATATCAACAGGAAGGGTTAGAAGGTTTAACTGCCATTTAGGGCACTTTGATTTTCTTTTTCATTGAATAAAGCAGTCACGCTGGCATTGCAAGTATCTTACCTCTGACCGACTAACCAATGAACAAGCCTTTAAGATAGAGTATAAATGTAATTGCAAATGGTATAGAATTAAGAATAGAGAGTTGCACTTGAACATATATTTCTTATACTTCACAAGTTCACATATCCCATACTTGCTATCAATGAATCACAACTCCACGTTAACAGCAAAGAACTATATGTAGTACTGCTGCAATAGCGTTGAAGGTTACCTGCCAACAAATTTATGATTCCCAAAATTCCAAATATATCTCTACTTTCAGCTGATGGCGGAATTTGACCCTCATTGTCTAAAATGGGAATGAAGAAAATCTCAAATTACAACCAGTTTGTACAAACAGAAGGACATCAGCAAAAGGCAACTTGTAGCTAGTCAACATGTTGGCCTGCCAGCTGTTAATAACAAGTAGCACTATCAAGACCTATTAATGCCATAGAAGAAAACAGATTTTAGAATACACGACATAGATAGGGCAATCTCAAATTGTTTTGGGGGGTAAGATTTCCACAAAGCCTCATACTATTGAAACACAAAGCCATGGTCCAAAAGGCAATCTATTGTTTTTTCCACTGTTTTCTTTATCCCAGAACTGCATGTATAATGAAGTCTTGGGCTGTCCGGAAATCTTACCTTCTTCATTTAGTACATGCTGTTACATGTAAATACAGCAATTTTTACGTTTCTGCAGATATTGGAGAGAGTCAGGTACAATGTCTCAGATGTTAAGCTATTTAACTTCCTTTTAGAAGAATCTGACATGTTTCAGAATGCGCCCAGATAAAAACAAGCGGAATACATGGACTTTGTAGCTTTTTCGTCTATAATTTTACGCCAGCATCTAAAAGATAACCTAATTAAAACTTCCTCGATACGCTTTGAAATACTGACAAAATTTGATCAACTTAACAAAAACCTGATCTTTTTTTTCACACAGAAATCAATGAATCGTAACGATTGATAGAGAAAAATGTTCTTTTGGAGGTCTGCGAAAAGGTAAACAGAGACGAATCCCGTCGTGATAAATTATGTTTCTCAATCATGCGATGCTTACGGAACGAAATCAATTTCACTGAGGAAAAAGAAAACAACTTAAATTAAATATCATTGTTTTATAATTTCCTGAATGTTAGAAGAGGTGAATCTTTCGAAATCTAATAAGACACGGGTTTTTTTTTACCTGCCAGACTTAATTCTTGTGTAACCCGGTCTATTTCGAGTATTTGATCACCAACTGATTGCTGGTCCCTTGGCTCGACGTAAAACTTATCAGGAGCAATATGGCTGAAGAAACAGAAAAAGTGAGGATTAAGGCGACTGCAAGGAAATTTACACAGAAAAGAAACACTGGAAGAGCCACCAGTGAAAAAAAGAACATACAGCCTCAAAGCCCGGTAGATTGCGTTATCCGCCATGTTGGCCTTTAGTTTGAGTCTACAATCGCATACGTCAGCGGTTACCAGAAGATATGAATTTGGTTATTTCGAAGTTCGTCCGCGGTACCTGTATCAGCGGCTTCAGCTCCAACTCGAGGCAAACTCATATCCAGGTTATTCTCAAACAGGGCTTTGCGGCTGGAGTGTCTTTTACTGTTTTTGTTTTCCTGGTGTCACGAATTTCTGTAAAAATGACGTCTTTTTCATCAGCAACTTTGGAGAAGAAGTTATCTGATCTTTCCAATACTCAACACAGTGTCCAGACGCTTTCGCTGTGGCTTATTCATCACAGAAAACACGCTAAAACGATCGTACAGTCCTGGTACAAAGAACTAACTAAAGGTGAGCAGTACCGTGCATATGTACTTGGCTTAATCGTTTGAATTTGTTGTGGATTTCAGAGCAACTGATCTCCATTAACAGACCTTGCATTGCATTTGCTCATCTTGTAAGAAAGATCCTCTTCAACAGACCTTCCACATGTCTCATATGTTGCATGTGGCGCGTGTTTCCATGCGAAATTATGAGGCAAAGTTCGACGTATTTTAGCAAGTTCTGGTGGCTTTATTCGGATTGCATAAGAGGTGTTGAACGATCTGATGATAACGTGGTGCACATTCCTGGCTTTTTTATCACCTTAAGCTAAGACGATCGACTCAGATGCTTATAGCTTCTCCAAAATATGTCAAATAGCGATTAAGCTTTCTTATGCATCTGCAGCTAACTTACTTTTCTCAACTCCAACTTGCTAATTAATGAAAGGATATGAAGGAAATAATTTTGTTTGCCTCCTTCTAAGTTTTTGTAATTGACTCACCATTTTGTTGAATCCATCAGAAAACGGATGCATAATCTTTACCAACATTTTGTTTCACATATAATTGATGTAAGGATACTCAGATTTCTTCAAGGGTAGTGTGTCTAGTTGGTAAATTTAGATTCCTGAAGGTGTCAAAACATAGTGAGAACATTAATAGCTCACCTCCTTGTAGCTTGTCAGGCTAGTTGATCTGTTCATACCAGATTTTCCTGCTACCTTTGTAGTTTTGTAGTGGGCAAGTGACCACAAACCCCTTATGTTCAATTTTGTTTTATTATCTGGTAAGTTTTAACATTCTCCTCATTTATTCACAGCGAGGACAAGCAAAAAACTCACTTTCATGTTCCTGGCAAATGATGTTCTCCAAAATGGAAAAAGAAAAGGCGCAGAATTTTTAAATGAATTTAAACATGTCTTGCCAGCTGCATTTCAGCATTGTGCACAGTAAGTACTCAGCACTAATTCTCCTTACTGTCTGCCATACAATTTTATGATGCTAGTAATGAGAATTTGGTATTGGATCAACTAATAATCTCCCAATTCTGTTTCATCACTTGCAGAGGGGATTTTTTTGTAAATGAAGTTCCTTTTATTAATTAATTGCTGTTGCTATTTGTTTTTTTTTTTATTCAGGGGCGGATCAGTGGAGGCTATACGTGGTCTTGAAAGGCTGATATCAATATGGACAGAGAGAAATGTGTATGAAGCCACTTTCTTGGTGAAGCTTCACAAGTGTTTGGGTGAGTTAATTTCTATATACAGCCCTGAGAAAAGCAGTTTTTCTGTTTGCTATTCTAAGAGAGATGATATAGGGCTATATTTAGTATTCATCCCTTAACATTTTTCTCTCCCTGGATGGGATGTTAGTACATTGCAGGTACATGTAACCTACCTTCCCCTCACTAGCATTGGGCATGGGTTTTGGGTACAGTTCATTAGTAACCATTTCTGTTCACTTTGAATTTTTGTTAAACTTCACTTGAATGTACACAGGTCAGGTATCTGATTCACCTCCACCTGAGAAGAAACAAAAAACTGATGATGAAAAACAAGCACCACTAATGGATCCACCAGATGTAAGGCACCAGTCTTTGTCTGAAATTATCATTATTGCCCCAGATACTGCAAAGTGTACAAGGCTGTGCTCTAAGAAAATTTGAAGGCAGCTCAGTGCT